ACTTCCTTCTTTCAGATGAATCCAATTGGAGTTATATTAAAAATTGACTTTGATCTTCGAAGCTGTTTAATGGCAGTCAGCGGGGCCTTAAGGGTGAGTAATTCATGGGCTAATTTTCATTTTTGGGTGAACTAACCCTTTAAGCGTATTAATATTTTTCTCTAACCATTTTACAAGATGTAGTGTATTCCAACCTTGTGTTTTTGCACCATTTGTAACAAGGGAATCCACATAAATCTGGTGAAAAGAAGCAGGGGTAGCCAACCCTGCTCCCAGAGAGTTGACTTCACACGGAATTTAACTCCAACCCTTATCAGACACACCTTACCCAACCAACGAAGGTGTTCTGGATTACTTTAAAAGAAGGTCTGTTGGAGCAGATTTGGACAAGGAAGTTGGCTCTCCAGAACTAGTGTTGACAGAGTCATTTACACTGACTCAGCAACCTCTTGACAAGTCACACTCTTTCAGTAGAGAACGTTCCACAAACATTAGACTCAGATATGCCCTGATGCCTTCCTACCTCCAGATACTGCCAGCAATGTCACCATTTTTTATATTTCGGACACAGCCAGTAAGTAAGCGATATAGAAAGAGAGGCCAAGAGAGAGGCTGCTTCAGCTGGTGTTGGTGGTCACCGTCCCAAACTTCATGCTCTATGTGTCCGGTATATGGCTCAGTGGAGTATCTGCCGGCTCCATAAGCCTGTACTTCTCCTCCAGAGATGGCTCGGTCCCCTGCAGGTGAATTAGTGGCTTGGTCTGGAATACGCCCAGACTTTCCTGGTTTCTCTTGTTGTATATGCTCACCCTGTGTTGCAGTTCCGGACTGGCCTTTACTGACCCTGCCGGACTGGGCAATTTAAGGTTGACCGGGTCCACCCTGCCTTTCTGCGCCAGGCAGGAGTCCTCAGACAGGGAAGAGAGCAGTTCTTTGACCACCGCGCTGGGGTCATGGACGCCTGGTTGTGTGCCGAGGGTCAAAGGGCTGCAGTACGGAGGAGGGCAGCAGCGTTGGCCGCTGTAGTCTGAGGTGGAGGCCTCCCGTACGGTAGAGCTGCAGTCAGTTGTGGAGCCTAGTGTGTGGCTGCTGACGCTGTACTGCCGGGCTGTGAAGCTGCAGCTGGACCGGGACATGGTCGTGCTGGATGCTTCACTTACAGAGCTGCCCGTGCGCTCTTGGCGACTGCCCGGGCCGTCAGCACTGACGAGGGAAGGCGGCAAGTGGCTGGGGTTGGTAGGAAGGTGGACATCGATGGCTGCTGTGGTTATGACACGTGCACCAGGGTCGGGCACCCCAATGTCTGTGTGTATAACAGATAGTATAACATAGTGAATGAGAGCCATCCTAAATGTTTAAGCATCGTGACAGTGGTCAGCTGATACATTAGCCAGACCTTTTGGCATTTTGAGATCAAATGATTAGTGTATTCGATTGAACAATGAGGTGTAATCTTCAGACTGGTCTTGTCGATTGTCGAGGGAATTTAAAGCAGGGTTGTTGTAGATAACTAAAACTAAATTTAAAGCCAAAAATAAACTTAAAATTAAACAAAATATATAAAAACCTTTTCTATTTCAGCTAGTTGCCAAGTCAACATTTCTCATATTTAGTTCAACTTGACATAGACATATAAAAAAACTGCTAATAATGACTAACACAACAAATTTACTAAAACTAAAATGAAAACGGAAAATATTAAAATAAAAACTGATTTAAATTACTCATACAAATTATAATAGTCTCAATTATACTAAACACTGATTTCAAGTAAATATTGAATATTTAATTTATTTGATATCTCATTTGCCTATTTTTTTTTTAAATACATACTTGCATACTCCAATATATTAAATTATATATATATATACTGTATATTTCAACAATTTATGACCCATGATCCACCTTGCTATCTAAAAGTTGGCATCTGCCAAAAAACTAGTATCAGTAAACCAATAATTTGGATGTATATGCATAGATTAATCTAAAAAAAAAAAAAAAAAAAATAAAAAAAAAAAGGATGAATTAAAAAAAAAAAAAAAAAAAAAAAAAAAAAAAAAAAAATATATATATATATATATATATATATAACAAAAAAATTAATTACTTACCGCTACTTGGCTCACTGTAATACTGACTGATGTAGTTATTCATATCATCCTGAACGACACTCTCTGAAAAAAACAAAACAAATGTATTTCAATCACAACATTGTGATTTAGTGAACCCAAACCAAAAAACCAAGAAACATCTTTTTTTCTTCTAAAAATAAATAAATAATAAAAAATAGAATCCAGATGCTTAGAAATCTGAGATTTTAAAGCTTATTTGATCATTTTTCTCATTTCACCGCTTTATAATGGGGAAACTTTAATGAGTCACTATGTAGTGAAGCGTGCTACAGTGTAAGCAATGCATTAATGTTCTGATTCTGGCCACCCTTATCTGCTGCTTGGCCTCCTGACCCAAAAAGAGGCTGTCTGACGTGGCTGTGGCTGTAGATGCAGCGGAGGTCATCGGCTGGGTAGAAGGTCTTATGATCTGCCTGGCAGAGCGAGGAGTCGACTGCACTCTAAGTGCCATCCACACATCTCTGGAGACGAGACCCAACTCACTGCGCCTTTTTAAATTCATTTTTACTGTTTGAAATATTCATCAAACGGAGGCTCGGGGGGAGATGGGCAGCCGACTAAAACACCAGGAAGACAATCACAGCCGAATATAAATAACACATGAGGATGAAGACAACCACACACACATTTTTACTTCTTCCAGGGAAGAGCAAAAGAAAGAGTGAATGTGAAACCTTATTTTTCAAAAAATGCATTGTACTTTCTAAAATTTGGTAAAATACCATAATTGGTGTTGCTTGGGGTCAAGCGCTGACACGTAATGTGCCCCACAAAGATTATCTAGATATATCTGAATACATGTGCGAGCTCTTACATGAAGTCTTTCCTCATGTCCTGCACTGGGAAAAAATCTTTATTTTTGCCTTGTTTTCTGGTAAAAAGCCAAACATCCTTAAACCACAAGATAAATTTAAGTGGAAAGCAAAATGTTTTCATAGAAAATATCTTCAGTCAAGTTTATTTTTCTAACCTCATTGGCAGTTTTTTCTCGTTCTAAAATGTCACAAAATGTTACATTTGTTTTTGAAACGAAACAGATTTCAACTTTGTTTTGCTGGCTTTGAACTTTACACTGTCAAAACGTAGTCATTATATGAACTATTTATTTTTGGTGCCATCCAGTATTTGAGGAATCCGGTTTCTGAAACTAAGCAGACTTTGAGAGCGATGATTCAGCATGATCATGTCACGCAGTATCTCTTCTTGTTCGCTCGGCTTGACGCAGTAAATTCTCATCCGAACCACAGCGGAGATAAAAGAGACCTCGCTCTGGCTGACCTCTTGACAGGTAATGGCCTCAACTTCAAAAAGCAGCTCTTTAAAAAATGAGATCACTCAGCAGCTCTTATATTTTCTGCGTCTTTGTCTTCGGTGCTTAAATGCATCTAACTCCCGTGTTATATGGGACCATTGTGGGGGTTTTCAGGTTAAAGGAACAGATGTTTGTGCCATAGTTGAATACTCTTTCAGGAGGAACAAGACCCAATGCACAGAGCAGCCTGTCTGTGTGTGTGTGTGTATAACAGCTGTACTCCTGCCAAACAGATCCCAATGTGACCTGACATGTGGGGAACCTCTGTCTCCAGGGGTCGGTCTGCGCTTTGACAGCATTTCTGTCCTTGTGTCATTTAGAGGAAAAAGCCACGGGCTGGCTCCTGGTGCCCACATTTCCCACAATCCTCTAGGGGATGAAGTGTGGCTTGCATGAGGACCATTGTGGGGTTTTTCAGGTTAAAGGAACAGATGTTTGTGCCATAGTTGAATCCTCTTTCAGGAGGAACAAGACCCAATGCACAGAGCAGCCTGTCTGTGTGTATAACAGCTGTACTCCTGCCAAACAGATCCCAATGTGACCTGACATGTGGGGAATATTATAGCGGTCTGTTATAATGGGATATCATACGATCTGTCCTGATTGTACTGTCACAGTAAACACTGAAGGGATGTTGTTGTCTGTGTTCAGAGGCTGGGTTGATTTAAGGCTCGGAGGAGAAGCAGGTACCTCTGAATCACTAAACTGGAGCCACTGAACTGAAGCTTCTCATTCATTTTCTGTTGCACACAATTAGCGTCCAAAATAAAGTTCTTGATAGGCCAGTGGTAGGTAAATTGAGAAAAATTACCAATTATAATTTTTTATTGCTGGCTCAGAAACTGTATGAACTGTACTTGTATGAAATGAATAGAATAATACATACACCTGGATGGATATAGGGAGGTTTGTAAGATACTGTCAACAAAACTGAACAAAAAACAAAACAAAACAGTTAAAGTCCCACCCACTATTGTAAAGTATTATGCAAATGTTTATTAGATAACCTTTAGAAAATATATATTATAAAATATATATTTATTCATATTATTTATTAATTCTAAAATTTACAAGACATGACTGTGTGGGACTGTTTCTATTTTTAATAATAATAATAATAATAATATATTCATGTTCAAATGTTTGGCATTGGTCAAATTTTTTAAATGTTTAAAAGACTCTTTTGCTTACCAAAGCTGCATTTATTTGATAAAAAATGGCTCAAGAAACATTTCTTATTATTATCAATGTTGAAAACAGTTTTGCCGCTCAGTATTTTTGTGGAAACTGTGATACACTGTTTTTCAGGATTTTTTAATGAATAGAAAGTTCAAAAGAACTAATAGAAATACTTTGTAGCAATGTAAAAGTCTTTACTAACACCTTCGATCAATTTAATGCATCCTTGCTAGATAGATAGATAGATGATAGATAGATAGATAGATAGATAGATATCATCACTTCCATATTCAATATCATTTTAATATCAGAATTACCAGAGACATTTTAGTGGTGTGTGGATAAATGTGTTACATAATTTCCCTTGTGAGACTGGGCTGGTTTTTAACTCATTAAAAAGGCAGAGATAGGACCGGTCTGGGTACCTGAAGGAGGTCTGGGCTCTCTGGTGTTGGCGCGGCACTCGTTGTCAGATCCAGCGGCACCCAGGCCGTCTATTTCCTGGAAGCTGCTGCTCTGTTTCCCCCACACATGGTGGATCTGCATGGCAGCCTCACGCTCAGCGGCCAGATCCAAATCCTGCTGCGCCAGGTGAGCCCTCAACTGCCTGATCTCAAACTGCCCAAGACAAGAATGCAGACAGAGACTGACATATTTTGAAATCATTTAAGTAATTTAATTTGCTGTCATTATGGGCTGTTACATATAATGTAAAAGTAAAATATGTTTTGTCAAGAAACCCCACTAAATTGAACGTCTTAATTAACAGATTTTATTCATATGAAAATACTAATATGACTAAAATTAGTTTGTTTTCAATGTAAACAAGGAGATCTAACCTTTTATTCAAAGGCAAAAATTAGCTTATTTGATTAGTGATCTACAAATAGTGTAGAATCTTTTATTTCTAATATTTTATTTTATTGTTTTTGTTTATTTAAATTAGATGAAGAACTCCAGATTAGATTTTTTTTAATTTAATTTAATTTAATTTAACTGTTCATTAGCTACCTTGCTACCTAAACTTTAGGAGTAATCATTTTGGAAAAACCCACACACTAAGATTATAGCTCTTCAATTATAAATTATAATTATAGCTATTATTCTAATTAGAATTTTGATTAAAGTTATAGCCATTTAGGTTATCAAACAATTATTGCTGGTAGTATTACAAATCATTATCTATAATTTATATCATAAACACACTGAAATGGATCTCCTTGCTACATTGTAACTCCAATATGCTTTATTTGTTGAATCAATGTCCACACACTCGACATGATCAATGAGCTCTACTGTTCTCAGGGCCGCTGCGCTGAAATCGACAGGTCTCAGATCAGCTCCCAACAGACATTTCTATCACAGTCTTATCGGTCTTCTTCCCCAAGGAGAAGAACAACAGAAACACATCTAGGGTCAGTTGTGTATTTCAGTGGCGTGCATTGATCCCTGTCTGTGTTATCTGTCTGGTGGGCCCAGGACAGGCTGGATGGGTCACGTGACTGTTTTATGTAATACGCTGGGCTGGATTGCAGCTTGAAACGCGAGCTTGCATCATCCGCCGAGACCCGATCAGAAATGAAGCATGAGCTTGGTGCGCAGCGGTTAAAAATATGGGGGATATTCAGGATGCATTGTGCTGTTGAGACACAATTCACATACATCAGAGTCTGTGGACATCAGTAACATATAATTCTGGACCGAAAACCCCCCAAATAAACAGACGTTTAAAATTATTTTTTTTCTGGTGACTCTAATATGGCTAAATAAACAGAGACAATCTGATCAATAAAAAAAAAAAGAGTGATTACAGGCACTGTGTTACTGAGCAGATGAATTAAAGTGAAATTTGATTGTGTGTCAGAGTGCTGCCCTCTGCTGGACAAATACACGGTGCAACACGATTATGGAAAAATGTTTGGAGAGGGGAGTTAAAACAATTATTCACACAAAAATGAAAAATGGCTGCAAATTTACCCTCAGGCCATCCAAAATGTAGATGAGTTTGTTTCTTCATCAGAGCAGATTTGGAGAAATGTAGCATTCCATCACTTGCTCATCAATGGATCCTCTGCAGTGAATGGGTGCCGTCAGAATGAGAGTCCAAACAGCTGATAAAAACATCACAATAATCCACAAGTAATCCACATGACTCCAGTCCATCACTTAACATCTTGTGAAGTGAAAAGTTGCATGTTTGTAAGAAACAAGTTAAATTAATTCAACTGTTTTCAATAAAAGTTTTAATGCAAACCACAGCAAACCAGTCAAAATATGAGTCTGTTATCCATAATAACGTCCATATAGTGTTGTCCTCTCAAAATAAAATCCACCAACATATTTTCACTTGTAATCAGTGCTTGATCTGTGCATATTTCTCTCCTGATTCAGACGGGGCAACTTTTTCACTGGCGAACGCAACATTATGGATAGAGGACTCTTTTGTAATTAAAAACGTCTTGATGGATTTGTTTCTTACAAACATGCAGCTGTTCACGTCACAAGATGTTAACTGATGGACTAGAGTGGTGTGGATTACTTGTGGATTATTGTGATGTTTTTATCAGCTGTTTGGACTCTCATTCTGACGGCACCCATTCACTGCAGAGGATCCATTGATGAGCAAGTGATGGAATGCTACATTTCTCCAAATCTGTTCTGATGAAGAAACAAACTCATCTTTATCTCGGATGGCCTGAGGATGAGTACATTTTTATTTTTGGGTGAACTATTCCTTTAAAGAAAAACTTACACTCTTGAGTATACTTCTATTACAGAGCTACTGTCAAGGTAAGTGTCACTGGCACAAGAGTTGTACTTTTTGTGTTATGTTGGTAATGTAAATGTCAGAGAGCAGTGAAGGGTTAGTTCATCACTCACGGCCTGCTCCTGACAGATCTGTGTGAGTCTCTCCAGCTGCGTTCGTAAGATTTTTTTATGTTTTTGAAAGAAATCTCTCATGCTCAACAAAGCAGCATTTACTTGATATAAATAAAATAAAATCTGTAATATTACAGTTAAATAATATTAGAATTTAAAATAACTTTTCTATTTTTCAGAAATCATTCTGATATGCTGATTTGTTGCTCAAGAAACATTTATGATTATTAGAGTTGAAAACAGTTGTGCTGCTTCATATTTTTGTGGAAACCAAGATACATTTTTCCCCTCGAGATTCTTTTATGAAGAGAAGATTCAAAAGATCTGCACTCTTGATTTTTTATCCATCTTTAATTTCACAATTTAAAACATCATTGCTAAATAGAAGTATTAATTTCTTTCGTTCAAAATAAATTATTAGCTTTTAATCAGTCATTTTTAAATCTGTAGTTTTGTATCTGGTTGAATTATATAAAATAATAATAACAATAAAATATTCGATCTAAATATTTATTAATGTATAAATAAATAACACAATATCTTAATAGAATAGTTCTACAATATTTATATTTAAATAATATTATACAATTGTTTGAACAGATTACATGTATTTGAATAGACCATAATTATTTAAATAGAACACATCTCAATAAAAAATACTGTAAAACAGCTGATCAAATGTTAACAGGTTTAACACACAATGGGCAGCTTTGATGAACCGCTAATTGTTTTCTGCAAACATACAATGCCGCCAAATGCAAACATCTATGGGATTACAATTCTGCCACAATTCTGCGCGCGAAAGATCATATTTTGAGGGCGCAAAAGTGCGTTTTGCACACGCGCGAACTGAGTTTTGTGGAGAAAATGTTTGTAAAAAATATAATCAGAATATCAACTTGCATTATGCACTGTATTTTTCCTCTTCTGCTGTCGAGGTGATGCAAGAAATGTTGTGATTGGTTGTCAAGGCAGCCAATCAGAATTTAGCAGCCTCGGTCTCTGATTGGCTGGAATTATGGCACATTGTAACGCTGGGTTGTGTTGAGCACGTGAGCTGTTGGCATTTAGAGAGCACTGAGGGCGGGCATCAGGTGAGCAAACTAGTGAAACTTTGCATGCGCAAAAGAGAAGGTCTGTACACATCCAAAAACTTATTTTAAATGCAAAATTGATTTTCGTGCGATCTAACTTTCTTCTTTGCGAGACAAACATTTTCTCCACAAAACTCAGTTCGCGCGCGTGCAAAACGCACTTTTGCGCGCTCAAAATATGATCTTTCGCAGAATTGCAATCCAATAAACATCACCTCCATCCAGACCTAAACGGAGAGCCAATTTTTGCCTCATATTCCATGAACTGACATGAGCGTCGTCTGAAGTTGATTTCTCTGGCTGGGCTGGGATTGTGCTGAGAGGGCCAAAGGCTTTCAATCAGGTGCTCTGCTGTCTGCTGTTGGCTCTTAATAAAGCCATATCCACATGACCCCTCTTATCATCCACTCGCTCGCCACATCAATTAGTCTCTTCTCACACTGGTACCATCTGCTGACAGAACTCCCAGCATGCTTTGCTGCATTGCAATGTGTTAGACTGCAGCTATTTCTACGATGTTTGGCCGTTCGTCCACACGCAAACGCAGTACCAGTTCACTGAAACCGAACATTTTTGAAAAAGCCTGCCAGGTAGGGATTGGTGTATCGATCCGAAGTATCGATATATCGATACTGATGCGAGTATCGAAAGTATCGATACTCAAACAATAAATATCGATACTAAGGTGTGTTTTATTTACCAGTGATTTTGTTTATTTAACAAAAAAATAATTATATAAAAAAGGACGAATAACTTATGTTAGTAAATAATTGTGTAGGATATAACTATTTTCCTGCTCATCTGAACACACGCAAATGTTGCAAGACAGAACCAATCAATCACAGAGAGCGTTCACTCACTGCTGACAGTGCATTCAAACAGGGCTGCGTTTCCCAAAAGTATCATAAGAAAGCATTAAAGCTTTTGGGAACGGCAGCCCTGAACAATGCTTATCAGAGGACAGAAGAAAAAAACATATATGTTTGAGTTATTTCACAATAAACAAATTGAAATTAGCCTACATAGTTTGTGCAATTACATTTATTGAAATTGAACGTTGAAAGATAATATTGATCATGTTCTATTCGGTAATGTTAATATAAATCATACACTGTCAAAAAAGGTTGCATTTTATGCGTACAACAGCCTGTCACTGGCAGTCCCTTATGAAAATGAACCATGGTTTTATTAAAGTGACCATAGTTCAACTGTAGTATTTGTAGATTCGAATCATGTGTAAACAAAAAACATATTTGAACCATGTGTAAACAAAAAGATAACCTAATAAGTTACAATTAAGTTACTTACTTAATGTTAAAATGTGTTTTAAAGTTAAGTGGTTATCATTACCCATTTTACTCTTAGTAATTTAATAAATTTCATAATTTAAAAGTTTAGTTCAGAAGTATCATATCGGTATCGATATCGACGATACTGCCTTGAAAAATATCGGTATCGTATCGAAAACAAAATAAGTGGCATCGCCCATACTGCCAGGGTGAAGATTTTCAAAAACTCCAGTTGCAGTGTTATCGTGTCTGTAGACAGCCAAACCGGAGTTTTTGGCTTGTGAGGTCGGAGCCTGCACTGTTACCTCCACCTACTGGAGACTCTTTCAGGCTTCTGATTGGCCAACATAGCTTTACGGTTATATCGCCACCTGTTGGTTTGGCATGCTCTTGACAGTGCTTCATAGCATGCGTTTTCATGTGGACGGAGATTTTTTTTAAAAAGGAAGAAGGAAAAACTACATTTATAAAAATACCCGTGTACGTGTGGACATGGCCTTAATTGAGTTCCTAAAATTCTTTAGGTATAATAAAGAAATAAAAAAATAAAGTAATAAAATAAAATAAAAATATAAAGCAGCATATCTCAGCAACTAACCCTCAGTAAATCTAACCGTGCGCTGGTGTCTTTTCTGAAGTTCAGCACGGCATGGTGCTTTTATGTCCTGCTGTGTACATCATGGTCCAACCACAGGGTGGCGTAAAACTGGATCAGACTCGCCGTGAGACTTGAGCTCATGAATGTGAAATATCAGCTTTCGTTTCTCCTTCATTTCTCAGAGTTCAGATTATATAACTTCAGCATTCTACTGTTGTATTAAACACTGTGTAAAGTGTGACGACCGTATTTAGCTGCCTTTTTTTTTTTGCCAACTGTGCACACTCTCAAATTCAAATCTCGAGGCGTATGAACAAACACACACATGAAAACATACGCAATTCTCACAGCTTGCACATCATAAACCAGGAAGGATAGGGAAAAGATAAGATATATGTGCAAACAAACATGCAGAATACACAAAAACACAGGCACAAAGCAATATAAATGTGAATTTTAATAGAAAAGGTACAGAAGAAAGCATGCAAGCACTTTAGATTCATATGAAGTATAGACAAAATATATCTAAAATTTGTATTTGAATGATTAAATAAAAAAAATGACAAAACTATTAATTGCAATTAAAATTGTACTAAATAATTAAAGCTTTAAGTTTACTACTGTATCTTTAAAATGTATTTTTTTGCTTTTATTTTTATATTTTCAGTTTAAGTTTTAGTAATTGTTACATGCTTTTGTCTTTTTTTGTCAAGCTTTTTTTTTTTTCATTCATCCATTATTTACTATTTTTCTATATAGCTTTCTTTTTATTTCAGTTTTAGTCATTTCTAGTACTTTAGTCGTGAGTTGCCAAATCAACATTTCAAATTTTCATTGTATTATATTTTATTTCAGCTTTATTTCAATGACCACAAACGATTTTTTTAATAGATTCAACACTGCTTGTATTGATGTATTTTACTTATCAAGACTTTTATATCAAACTCAGGGCTGTTTCTGTGAGGTGCTACTGGATCTCAGCACTGGCAGAGCTGTTTGTTGTCATCACCAGTGTTCATGTAAGTGTGTCTGACGGCGCGGTACTCAACAGCTCAATGATGTTTAGTGAGAATGAGGGTGACCTGCCCCAGCCATCGACCATGAATACACTTGCATAAACAGAACCCGTGCTGAGACATTATGGACATTATGCTCCTCTCAGCGCAAACAAAAGACTCTGAATCAATCTGAATTTTAATAAGACCAACGCTGGCAGTAGCAGCGCGTGTGAGACGTCTATCATAACTCACACTCATTGGGCCGGACAGGACAACAGCTAGTAAAATTAATCAGCTGAATTAGCTAATGCTTCTACATTAACACTGTCTTTAAAAAGTGTTTTAAAGGTCAAATGTATTTACATTCAGTAAATAAATAAATATTACTTACAACATTATTTTTAAAGACTTTATAGTGTCAAAAAAGATTGTGAATGGTGTGTTGTCATAAAGCAGCTTACCGTCAATGATTCTCTTGACTCTCCAGATGCGGAGGGTGATGATGAGGCTGATGGCATCCCAGGGGCTGCTGGGGCCGTTCGCCACTGTGGAGGCCACCATTGGGGCCAGAGAGAGTACAATCACAGCACCGTCAAATACCTGAATAAAACAACATCAACAACGAAACACGATCATATGCCTTTCAGCTTGTAACATGTAAAAGTGTATTTATTACTATGAGCTGTTACATACCAGGTAATGCTCAACTGTAACTATAATTTATTTAATAGATCTGAAATAAATTTAAAATGTATGTATTATTTAATAAATTATGGAAGCCCTTTTCTGCCATGAAAAAAAAAACCCCAGCAGGTAATTGTGATTTTTCTCATAATTTTCTTTTATACTAATGAATTTTTCTGCAAATTTGGAATTTTTATCTCACAATTCTGAGTTGATATCTCATAGTTCTCAGAATTGAGATATATAATCTCAGAATTGCGAGATACAAACTCAGAACTGCGAAGAAAAAAGTCAGAATTGTGAGTTATAAACTTGCAGTTGCGGGAAAAAAGTCAGAGTTGTGAGATAAAAAGTCACAATTGCCTTTATTTTTTATTCTCATAATTCAGATTAAAAGAAACACAGACTCACAATTCGGAGTTATATTTCCCATTTTCTCAGAATCACATGAAACAAAGTCCAAATTGTGAAAAAAAAAAGTTGTATTACCCATTACCTACCTACTTATTTTTTTATTTTTTTTAGCAGACATGAATAAATATTTTCTATATATATAAACAATATTTATTACAAACTATAAATATATTTATTATTTTTATATTTTATGTATTATTGAAAAATTGTTTTGTATAACATAAAAAATATCTAAAATGATTATATATATATATAATAATGTGTTTTTTGAACATTAAAGCATGTCAACATATTCTGTTACACCAAATGATCTTTAAAAGAAATTTCTTTAAAAGAAAAGAAATAATGATCTTTAAAATAGCATCATATGACCCCTTTAAAATAATCAGTAAATGCTCTTTAAAAACATTAATATCAGACAGATATGGGAAAAAATTCAATATTTATTATGTAAATGAGTGGGCAGGGTCAATAAAACTGAACAGCCAATCACAGTGCAGTCAGCAATGGATCCTCTCCTGCTCAGGCAACAATGTGACATTGAGTGTGTGTCACTGCGCCAGAGAGAGACTCATCCTTCATTAAGTTTCAAGGGCTCGCCTGTTTCTCCCCCTGTGCTAATGGGACCCTGGGGAGCTTACCTCAACTTTGTTCTCTATATAATCCCAAATCCCGAGCACCACAATCCTAAAGACAGTCTGGGAGAGGAAGAGAGAGACAGGGAAGAGAGAGCATATAAATTGAAAAGACCCATACAAAGAAAGAAAGAAAGAAACAGAAAAGAAGCAGATTAATGAAAATCACTGATCAGATTTCTGATGCTTCAGCACATTGCATTCTGGGAAATCATCCACAAGAAAACAACAGAGCGTGTTTAGTGAAAGGCGAGAGAGAAGCCTTGGGCAAAAAAAAAAAATCAGGCAAACATTACTTTTCCAGCGACCCACGAACAGCAAACATAAATAATGAGCTTGCAGGGAAAATGTGTATGTAGGGTAATTCGAAATCTAAGTGATATCGAGATGTGGCGGCAACAGAATTCACCTCCATTTGGTGGAGAAATAACCTCCGCAAAACCCATTTCCAAGCCGAATAATTTTTTCTTTCATCTCGTCTCAGAACGCAGCTCATAATTTATCAGTGACCTGCAATATGTATTCATAAACTCGCAAGCGGGCGAGATCTCATCGAAACACTCGGAGGAGACGCTGTTTTAGTGACTGCTGACTCAGGTGGCACACGCTAGTCTTTTTATCGCTTTCTATCCCTACTTTGCTCTCTTTTCCTCTCTAAAACAAGTGACGCTGAAACTTTCAGGCCTTCCCGTCTCTTGAGCCTTTATCGATGAGCAAAATGCAAGTTGAAGGAAATAAATGCAAGTCTGCTTTAAAAGAGCCAGAGACGAATGCAACTGGATCTGAAGAAATGGGAATCAATGGAAGTCAGCACGTGTCAGGACACACACACACACTTAAAGTACAGTAAGAGCACTATGTGAAACTGCTTTTTCTTGGGTTCAATTAAGACGCCCCTACAGCATAAACATTCAGATAAGACCATACATCAAATACTTCCAAACATCCCGTCGTGGCACCATTCATTTGAAACATATTATATGGATAGTTGTAAAACAGGCTATTTCTAGTAAGCCTGGTGGCTCTGTGTAAATTATGATCATCTCAGACTCAGCATCTTAGTCGTTTTAGTGGCCTGTGACCTTTAAACGTGCACTTTTAATGCTGACACGTTGCTTTTATAGCTTTATCATCTTTCAATTGAATATTAACAATAGACTCCAAAAATTCCTTTATATGTTTTACATAAAATTAATGTGTATAGTAGGCTATTGTTAAGATAATTTAGTTTTGGAAGAATCTGATGAGAAATGTTTAATAAGAAATGTATTTTGGCAAATTTGAGCACAGTATGAGACATTATAACGAGCTCTTCTAGGGTTACTAGGGTGTTTTTTCCAGAAGAAAAGCAGGATACTTCAGTGAGATCCCACACAGATTCACACTCACCTCAGTGAAGAACACGGACAGGATGACCAGGCTGATCCAGTGGATGATACAGGCGAACTGGAATGCATTATTAACTGTGGACACAATTCAAAGAGATTCTGCTCTCACTAAATGTAAAAAAAAAAAAAAATCATTATAATACAGTCAAATGTAATGAGCAACAGATTCTCAAAATTCACACAACTCAAAAGTTTGGAGTCAAGATTTTTTTTGTCTGAAAGAAATTCATACTTTTATTCAGTGATGACACATTAAATCAACCAAACGTGACAGTAAAGGCTTTCACACTGTTACAAAAGATTTCTATTTCAAATCAATGGTGTCCTTTTGAATTTTCTATTCATCAAAGAACTTGGGATGTTTCGTTTCAATGACCATTTCACTTCATTTCACTATAAACTGTTTCACAAGTCCCTGCATGCCATAATGGAGCATATTACATGACACACACACACACACACACACACACACACATATATATATATATATATATATATATATATATATACTGTATAATAAGACCATAACATAACATATAACATACTAAAACTCTAATTTAATTCTGACTGCTGTTAAGGCCAGGTAATACTATGTTTTTGATTCTTCAGAATTACTGGACTTTTTGAGAAAGAAGCCAAATTCCCTACGTGTGCCGCATCGGTGTCGCAAGCCGAGGACAGTGGCTGCTCAATCTCATTATGACAGCCGCCTGAACTGAAAGCATTAGGCATTTGGATATGATATTCCACCCATCCGCGTCTATTTATCCGCTCTATTACGGTGCAAGAGATCTACTGCATTCAGTTATCCCTCACTCTCTCCACACGCCGCCAATCTCCCAGCCCATATGTCTTAGTTTGCTCTGCTCACTGATCTGTCCATCAGTCCATTTATCTCCCTCAATCCCTCCTTCCATTAATCTCACCGGCCGGTCGCTGTCCTGCACTCCTCCTCTGCTCCCATCTGTCTGTCAGGACTGTGTAAAGGCCAGAGAAGACAGAGAGATATAGGCTGACTTATGCTTCTGTCATCTCTCACATTTCTCTCTTTAGTGTGCACTCATCTGCACACTAAGCCGTGATTTTCCGCCGTAGTATGAATGGGGATCTCTGGTCAGATTTACAATAGGCTCTTATGCGAAATGAAAATGTCCAGGCAAATAGCAGCAAAGCAACTGTCACTCACAATGTGTTTATTGAGACTAATCTCCACAGAGATTAGATCGACAATTGCAGACGTATAGCTATGAGAGATAGTGTTTGTATACTGAATTAATAGAATTTCTAAATTGTCAAGATAAATGTATTGTTATGCAAATATAAAATGGATGTGATTTATGGGAAATCAGAACCAGTTCTTATATAGAACTGACTGAATATATTATTATTTTTTTGTAAATGAAGTCTGAAATCAAAAGATTTTCTGATTCCTGAACAAATCTCTTATGAGTCGGTTCTTACTAGTGAATCAAAAACATACTACTATGGTTTGAATCCCAAACAAATGAACAGTGTAGTCTTGAACAAATTACTTTTATGAGCTTCTTTGTCCTAGTGATTCAAAAACATACGGTGCAATCAGTGCTGTCTAAATTCCAAACAAATGACTCTTATGAATATTTTATTTTTAGGGAATCAAAAACATACAGTGTAACCAAGGTAGTCTGAATTTCTTAGGTTGGGAAATGAGAACCAGTTCTTATTCAGACCTGACTGAATAAATCGTTTTTTTTATTTTTTATTTTTTTTTATATGAAGTCTGAAATCAAATGATTTTCTGATTCCAGAACAAATCTCTTATGAGTCGGTTCTTTGTAGTGATCAAAAACATACTACTATGGTTTGAATCCCAAACAAATACAGTAACATAAAGCTCGACCAGTGAAGCCTGATTCTTCAACGAATTACTTTCATGAGCTACTTATTCCTAGTGAATCATAAACATTCAGTGTAATCAATGTAGTCTAAATCCCAAACAAATGACTCTTATGAATCTTTAATTTTTAGGGAATCTAAGGTTGGGTCTTAGGTTGGGAAATGAGAACCAGCTCTTATTCAGAACCGACTGAATAAATTATTATTATTATTATTTTAATATCCTGAAATCAAATGAATCAACAACATACAACACAATTAGTGTAGTTTGATTCCTGAATGAATGACTCATGTAAATTGGTTATTTTTAGTGAATCAAAACATACAGTGTTACCATGGTAATCTGAATCTCAAAAAAAATGGCATACAGCTTGACCAGTGTAGTCTGATCTCCGAACAAATGACTTTTATGACTATTAGTTTGATTCCCAAACAAATTACTCTTATTAACTATTTCTTCCTAATGAATCAAAAATGTACAGCACAAACAGTGTAGTCAAACAAATGATTCTTAAGAGTTGTTTATTTTTAGGGAATCAAAAACATACAATCTGACAATGTAGTCTGAATTACAAATAAATGACTCGTATGGGCCATTTCTTTTTAGTGAATCAAAAACATGCAGTGTGACCAGTGTAGTCCAAATCTGAATCCTTTATACAGTAAGTGGCACGGTCTGATATGTCAGAGCATGTGTGCTAACAACTAGATAGTAAATCCTCATTGTGAGCCCAGATCGGCTTCTAAAGGGATCTCGAACCTCGAACCCCTTCTAATACTCACATTGTAGGAGTTTAGTATCAATGAGCAGTTCCACAGTCAGTAAGAGCACCACCAAGATGACACAGGCCACCAGGAAACAGTTGAAGCCAGCACTCAGCAAACACACCTGCCACAGCGCTGCTCTCCTCCCGCAGCATGGCTTCAGCCAGTTAGACCTGCAGATAAAACAGAGCGACAGAAATAGAAAGATAGAGAAAAGGCAGAGAAACATTTCTGAACTACTAAACCACAAACGCAAGAAAACTGGAGTGTACATTCACACATATGGCCAACAACACAGAAGTCAGTCTTTATAGAAATAGAAGTTTACTTCACTTCTATTTCTACTTGTATACAAGTTTACTTATACATACAAGTATACTTTTTCTTTTACATACAAGTTTACTTGTAAAAGTACAAATAAACTTATGTACAAAGACAAACTTGTATATGAAAGTATACAAATAGAAGCAAACTTGTAGTGTTTGTATACAAGTAAACATTAATGTGCATGCAAGTTTGCTACTGTTTGTACGTAAAAGTTTACTTGTACACATTCATACAAGTATACTTATACATACAAGCATACTTCTGCATTTACATACACGTTTACTTTTACTTGTAAAAGTAAAAATAAACTTATGTGAAAAGACAAACTTGCATATAAAGGTAAACATATGTACATACAAGTTTGCTTCGATTTGTACATAAAAATTTGTCGTTACTTTTACATACAAGTTTACTTCGATTTCTACTTGTAAGTACAAGTTTATTTGTAAAAGTAAACTTTTATGTACAAATTGAAGCAAACTTGTATATAAAAGTAAACTTTAATACATACAAGTTTGGTCATAAAAGTTTACTTGTCAAGTTAACTTTTACATACAAGTTTACTTCTACTTCTACTTGTAAATACAAGTTTAGTTATACATACAAATGTACATTTAGTTTTACATACAAGTTTACTTTTACTTGTAAAAGTAAAAAAATAATTGTTTTTATAAAATAATTTAAATAAAAAAATGTACTTACAAGTTTACTTCTATTTCTACCTGTAAGTACAAGTTTACTTACACATACAAGTGTATTTTTAGTTTTGAATACAGGTTTGATTCTATTTGTTCATAAAAGTTTACTACATATTTCTACATGTTTATTTTTTACATAAGTTTACTTCTATTTCTACAAGTTTACTTATACTTTCTCAGTCAAGTTAACTTCTACATACAAGTTTAGGCTATATCTACAGTACATACAATATAGCACCTACTGTTCTTAAATTACGCTAATAATACAATACTACAATAACCCTAAACTCATGAAATAAAAGATTTAATTAGTATTATCATGAGACGTGTAGATTTTTACACATCTGTCAGTTTGTTCTTTACATATAGCTACTGTATGACTTCAGAAGATTTGGAATACATCACTATACTGTAAGTCATATGGACTACATTAATGGCACCTTCATGGCCTTCATTTTTGGAGCTCATCAGCCCCAGCCCTCACTTTCATTTTATGTAAAGGAGCTGCCAAAAATTTACTTGATTAGTTGCAATTGCTTACAGACTTCAGTTTAATTGTGTTTTTCAAATTTTGTCAGGCAGTAAACCTTTCAGTGGACACTCTTGTGAGTGTGACTCACTTTGATTAATCACATTTTCTCACTATCTCTGTCTCTCTCTCTTTTCATCGCTCCTCTAAAAGCAGATACTGTGCACAGTATGCAGGTTATATGTAAAGACTATACTACATTTTTCTGAAGATCAGTATACAACAAGAGTTCACCAAGGTGGTCTATAATACCTGGAGAATGCTATCTGTTAACATGAATACTATCTCATTCACCTCAAAGGCATTAGCTCTACTGTGTTGTAATGAAATACGTGCGATTTATATGTAGCTTGCAAAAAAACGACCATCAAAGGATGCATTTTTGGAACCAACAGCATCTACCTGCAGGTAGAGCATTTCTTGTCGCATACTGCATACTATTTCACATACTATTTTTTTTTTTAAATAGTAGGCAGTATACAGTAGAAGTATGTAAGTACCATTCCAAACATCACCCAGGTTATCACTGTTACAGAGCCAAAACCGGAATCCAGGAATCCATTAAAGTTCCACACCCTTTCGACAATTTTGGCACCAAGTACACTCTCTTTTATCTCTTTTTTTTCTTGCTGAAATGTTGGAACTCAAGCATTTGCGCACTATTTTCCAGACTGAGCTCCAAGCCCGTGCTGTGCATCCCGAGCTCCTTCTCATGGGAGCGGATTCTGATCTTGGCAGCATGGGAAAGACCTATCAGTGTGGCCAGACTGACCTCATCCTGTGGCTCTCCGAGTTGCATCCATAGACACACACAAACACACGTACAAACACGCATACACACACACCATCTGGAGAGTACAGACTCCACTTATCAGACGCAGCCAAAAAGATGATTGCTTAACAGCATGGCCGCGCCTTCATTTGATCAGATGGACTATATTTGCATGCTTTGGGCTTCGCCCTTGTGCGATTCGAGCAGGAAGGGCAGATCAGACATGGAATCTGTGCTTGGCTGAGCAGCACTGGTGTCTAATAATACCACCTTAGCAATCTGTAACTTTACGCCCTCCTAAAAATGCAAACTCCAAGTCCCCTGATGGCTCAATAAGACTGATCTGTAATCAGCACATATTGCATTTCATTATACAGTAATTCGATAACATTTCATGTTGAGATTACATATTGTTGACCCTTAACATGATTTTGCACAAAAATACATTATTTTACACATACTACATGTGAGTATACTGTAAGTACAATAACAATGTTGTTCTTAAAAGATTTGCACATTTTCTTATGTAAAGTTAGTAAAACTCATCACCAGTTATTGCTAATATCTTCAGAAGTTTCTATGCAGTTGCTAAATTGTTCAGAGTGGTTGCTAAGTTATTCTGGGAGGTTATTAGGGTATTGTTAGGATATTCAGAATGGCTGCAACAGCTAGGCAGTTTCTAAGGTTTTCTAGTGGATGTGACTTATAAATGAGGAACCTTACAAGAAAATGACTGGTTGCCAAGGCATTGCTAGGGGGATGCTAGCTTGTTTTGGGTTGTTGCTAGAGTGTTCAAGGAGGGATAGGCGATTTTTACGGTGTTCTGAGCGGTCACTAAGGAGTTGGTGTGTGTTTGAGTGTGGCTGTGGTATTGTGAGTGGTTGCTAGATGCCTGCTAGGTTGTTTACATTTATATTTAGTCATTTGACAGGTGTTTTTATCCTAAGCAACTTATAAGCAAGGAATGTGACAAGTAACTTGCTGGTTGCTTGGGCACTGACAGGATGCTCTGGATGGTTGCCAAGGTGTTGCTAGGTGGCTGCTAGGAAGTTCTGAATAGTTTGCAAGGCATTGCTAGGTTGCTGCTAGGGTGTTCTGGATGGCATTGCTAGATGGCTGCTAGGGTGTTCTGAATTGTTTGCCAAGGCATTGATAGGTGGCTGTTAGAGTGTTCTGGATGGTTGCCAAGGCATGACTAGATGGTGCTAGGGTGTTTTCGGTTTGCTAGGTTGTTTACATTTATATTTAGCCATTTAGTAGACATTTTTATGATACAACACGAGCAATTGGTTGGTTGCTAGAGCACTGCTGCGATGTCCTGGATGGTTGCCAAGGCATTGCTAGGTGGCTGCTAGAGTGTTCTAGGTCAGTGGTTCTCAACTTTTTGTCCTTTAAGCCCCCCTCTTTACATATAAGAAAACCTGAGCCCTCTAGTACTGTAGCTTGGTGGAGACTGAGACACCGTCGCTGAGCTTTTCATATTTGCCACACCTCTCACAGTTGTTGTGAGCACGCTCGCATCTGTTGCATTTGAAAAATGTGATTGTTTATGTGATTGGCATGCTGAGAGACCATGTATCGAATCAAAGACATAATTTTCAGCTGGTTCCGAAAAGTGGCCGATAGAAGCGCTCCTAGAAATTACATATGGAAAGGTTGTTTGCATCCATATTTGACACTGGTGCCCCCGTAAGCGAGGCGCGGACCCCAGGATGGGAACCGCTGTTCTAGGTTGCTAGGTAGATGTTTACTAATCAAAAGAGTGCACCCCCAGTTCTTTATCACAATTAGATATGGCCTGGGTCCCTCCTTCAGTGTAAGTGTATGTCTTTCTGGAGCTTAGATGGATGTCTCTCCAAAATCTAATTCAACAATCCAACAAGCCTAATGACAGAAGGAGAGTGATTATTTGGGATTTACGTGTACTAAATAATGAGGAATAGAAGAATGTACATATGAAGATCTTTCAGCTTCCAGAATTGAGCAGTGAAACACAGCACACTGACTGATTTATCGAGGGGTCCAGGGAGGTTAACACTAACACCAATACTCATAAGGTGTGTCCCTGTCGAAGGAAATGCACTGTAGAGCAGATCTGTCTGAGTCTGCCTGCAATAGCTTTTATCGTTCCACATATTTAGGAGTTGACCCTTTAAAATGGGGGTGTGTTTGAAATAGCATGCTACCATACTATTCATACTAGGAGTGTGTGTGTGTGTGTGTGGGGGGGGTACTGTCTGTATGGATGTAATACTAGGCACATCCGAAATCGCATACTGAGTAGATAGTACATTTGATGAATAATTAACCTCATGACTGTTAAAAAAGTATGTTCTGTATTGTATGAATGTGTGCAGTAAAAATGTAATCCAGAAGTACTACATCCGTCATATTGTCTTTGTCATGTGACTTACATCAGTAGCATCATTTCCCAACTCCTCTCCTGTACCCTAATGGGATGGCAAAGTGCTCATCAGATGCTCACTTCAGAATCTCAGCGGGTCATCCAGGTACTTTTCGTCTACTGTTTTACGACTACTGTGAATCTATATATATATATATATATATATATATATATGGACACACTGCTTTTTTCATGTACTGTTTTTCACCTATTATATTGTAGGGAAGTAGGCATATTTAGATGCAGGAACTGTATCCCAAAATGCTCAAATTGACCTTCTATTTCCAAAAGTGGTCAGTCATACTTTCCATCTGAACAGCTGAACATCAGTATCGTTGTGCAGTGAAATAAAGTATATTGCAGTTCTGGATATAACTGCATTAATGTACTAGCAGCTGACTGGAAGGGCAGTATAAACAAAGCGTGAGACCGTTGGGACCAGGAGCCGTGGTGAAACATGCAGATGGCTGGAGGTTGTTATTTTATGCTGAGTGAGCAGCAGCTATTCAAACTCGAACCCAAACCCATGACCTGTATTAGAGTAATGGATGAATGAGTCTGAGGTGGGAAAGATCAACCCAAACTTCAGCACAAAAAGCCGCTGTGTAAGAAGGACACTGGCTGTCTCCAGTTCCAGAGCGGAGCTATAGAGGGTGATTGGATCTCTTTCACCTTTCCTGCACCAAATCGTGCTGAGGGCACAGTGTAGCCTAACCTGGGTCATTTGAGAACAGGACATGCCCTTGTTGGCTCAGACCAGTCTGTCATACTAGATGTAAGGGCTAAACATTAGGGCATGAGTAGGCAGGTCAATGACATAATATAAAGAAAAAGACTGAAATTTTGGCAACTGAAAATATAACAGCAAAAAAATAATTTCCAGTTTCAGCTGAAATACCTTTGGAGGGCCAGAAACAGTGATGTTTAATTAGCATTTCCCTGATTCATGCACACAGGTTATTTATAAATATTTAAAAATCAGGTTTAAAACATATGCAAAGTTGTTAGAAATTGACTTTTTGTATTCATTTTTGTTTTGAAAAACCATTTTCAAAAACGTTTCAATTTAAAGACTACAAATTTCATGTGGTGAAATCAAGTAATATTATATTTTCCTTAAATTTATATGTATATGTATATATGTAATATTGAACATTTTCAAAAAAATAAATATAGTTTTTAAAGGTAAAAATAGGTTATTTTTTAAAATAAATATCATGAATTAATTCATAAATATGATGTTTTTGGGGAGTTGCACCACATGGCATGACGTTTAATTAATAAAAATGTCACGTGGCATAACCATCACATTTTACAACCTTAACTAACCTAGTCTTGTCAAAAAAAGACAAATTATCTGAAATTTTAAGAGACTTACTGACCTTGGACTGCAAGGGTCCTCTCTATGATATAATTTCCTGTTTTATTTTTATCTGCATCACGTGTCTTTGATTTGCCATGAAAAAAATAATTTTCTCAAATGTTAATAAACATGCTAAAATCTGACAGCTTGACATTTGTGCCAAAACACTTTAGTGTGCTGACACTCATCTTTGACTATCATCTCTACATGCCTGAGTGGAGCTTTAAAGAACACAAATAACTTTAAAATATTCAGTATCACACAATAATGTAGACACACACATTTCCAAACGTAAAATGCTAATTTGCACTTTCTCTAACCCTATGTGCATACACCGTACAGTGGAAGGAGCAGGAAGGAAATGCGAGTGCTGGAGTGGACAGGTTTATAGAGACATCAGTATCAGCACTACGTGAGACGCAGGAGAGACAGATTGAACTGCAGCAAACAACAGCTGACCGGAGAGGGCTGAATTACACCATGAAACTGATCGATCGTGAACTGGAGAAATGTGCTGTCATACATGCCTCTCGGTCAAAAACGGATTCTCTTGCTCCTGCTCTTGCTCCAGGAGAAAAATTAATAGGGGAGAAAACTCAGAGGCTTTATTCTAAACTCTAGAGAGGTGCCTTGCTGTCTTAACCAAAGGTTAGGCAACCAGGCAACAGGCCACACAATCAGGCTTCGCATGTCACATGCAAGGGAGTGTCAAGGTTGATTCCAAGAGTTGGTCATTAGCACATGTAACACTACATGATACTCTAAAACGTACAGAAAAAAATGCAAAATATTGCAAAATGAATTAGTGCAGTTTTATTAGATGGTACTACTTTTATCAATCCTTTTCAGTATTAAATAAAAAATAAGCAGGGACGTACAACATATATGCTTCATATATTTTATTAACCAAAAAAAAAAAAAAAAA